GTCCTAGGAATCAATGTGTAGATTACTCGAGTAGTCTGTTAAAGCCCTACATGATACCTGAACAAACATTTGATTTGAATGACCTGAACTCACCCTGGAGTGCCAGTGTATTGCTATGTGTGCACACATTTACTGTCTGGGACCGTGGCCCTGAACCCTCCTATGCACAGCTGGGTTCCTCCCATGAGAGGTGGAACTATGAGTCCTGGGACCTAGTGAAGCCACTGAATCACAGACATGAACTGGAGATATGGTGCTGGTCCAGAAAGAATTGAGATACTTGAGGGGAATGAGTTATACAATAATAAGCCTTTGTGTGATTTTAATAAAGCACATCCTTATTTTCAAAAGGAGGTCCTTATGCATTTTTGATGGAATAAACAAAGTCATGATTTTTTTTCCAAACAATGAAAAAGGAGTCCATTTTTTTGTTTTTATGCATAATGATAAACAGGAGCTCATGCAATCATAATGCACTTCAGAAATTGACACTTTTCCCGGTGAACTTCTGGATGGATCACCTCTTCTCAAACAGCACCTGCACTGATTTCCTTTTTGTTTTTTAGTTTTAACCAAAAGAATGTAACTTGTAACCTGCACATTACCAGTTTTTAAATTATTTTTCACTTTTAATAAAAACTTGCCTTTGAGCACTAAAACCCAAGACAGTGGCTCCTGAGAGTTTTGTGTGTCTGGTAAGTCCCTTCTTTCATTTTACTCTGCTGGTTCTGATTGTGTGAAACAACAAACACACCGGCTGAAGTAAACTAGGGGTTTAGATTTGTGCCTCTTCCTTTCATCATTCTAAAAATCCTCAGAGAAGAAAGCTAGGGGAGGCTCACTGGAGATGCTGACCGTGTCCTCAGTGGGTCTCCAAGCCTCAGTACGTAATGACCTGCAGCTTCTCGGCCTTGTTACATTTAGATAGTGGAGTTAGAATTCCTGGAGTTTAGAAACTTGAAAATCATTTTGCATCCATCCCATGGCTTTTACTTTTTAATAATCTTTTCTTTGAGTTGAATCAGGTCAGTCACGTTAAAAGAGGTGAATATTTATACAATCAGTAATTTGCATTGCAGATTTGATGAAAGTACAAAATGATTACATTAAACAAAATCACTGCATTAGTCTTCTATGAAGCAGTCATCTCAGAACTGCAGAGTGAAGTCAATTATAACAAGTAACACTAATTAGTTTTAATAAATGTACGGAGACGTGTTCTCCTGAAAATTCTGTTAGCTGGGATTCTTTAGAGTCCTTCTTTTTCACCGCTTCAATAAAAAAGCACATCATGTGACAGTGAAGCTGAGCTCACCTATGACCTTATTTTTCACATTATCATCCTTGTAAAATAAACTATGATGGCAATAACATGGTTCTTTATCTTTTCCTTTCTCTTTAGAAGGCAGGGGGTGTAGGAGATCATATCTCTCCAGTTTTAGTTTCTCTCCATTGGCTCCCTGTCAAATCCAGAATAGAATTCAAAATCTTACTTCTAACCTACAAAGCTCTCAACAACCTGGCTCCATCTTATATTACAGATCTTATTGTTGCATATTCAGTAGCTTTCAACACCAGAGGATCTGTGTTGTGAACCTGTATGCTCCACACTGGTTTGTGGTCAAATTTATTATCTGCATCGTTTTTATGTCTATATTTTTGATTTACTTCATTTTGTATATTGCTTCATGTGTTGTCTGTTGTTCTGTCTGTACAGCACTTTGGTTGGTCTTGTAGCTGTTTTAAGTGCTCTATAAATAAAATGGTATGGTATATTTTCCGGGCAGCACGGTGGCGCAACTGGTAGAGCTGCTGCCTCTCAGCGAGCAGGTCCCTGGTTCAAACCCCGGTCCAGGGGCCTTTCTGGGTGGAGTTTGCATGTTCTCTCCGTGCATGCGTGGGTTTTCTCCGGGTGCTCCGGTTTCCTCCCACAGACCAAAAACATGCATGTTAGGCTGATTGGTAACTCTAAATTGTCCCTAGGTGTGAGTGAGAGAGTGAATGGTTGTTTGTCTCTATGTGTCCCTGTGATGGACTTGCGACCTGTCTAGGGTGTACCCCGCCCCTCGCACAGTGATTGCTGGACATGGGCGCCAGCGACCCCCGTGACCCAAAATGGAATAAGCGGGTAAAGATGATGGATGGATGGATGGATTGTATATTTTCCTAACAGAACACTTCGCTCTCAGACTGCAGGTTTACTTGTGGTTCCTAGAATTTACAAAAACAGAATGGGAGGCAAATCTTTCAGTTATCAGGCTCCTCTCTTGTGGAACCAACTTCCAATCTCTGTCCGTGAGGCTGACACATTATCCAGTTTTAAAACTAGGCTTAAGACTTTCCTTTTTGCTAAATCCTATAGTTAGGGTCGGCTTGGGTTTCCTGAGCTGTCCCTTAGTTATGCTGCTATAGGCTTAGACTGCTGGAGGACAATCTGACCACAATGTTCACTCTGCTACTGTCTTTACTTACTCTGCTCAACCTGTTTTGTATTTGTAATTATTTTTTCTATCCTTAACATGTGTTTTTTTGTCTTTCAGATACACCTGGACCTATACCTAGACCTACCATTCTGTGTCCGTCTGTCTCTCCTTCCTGTCCTCTCAACCAGCCGGTCAAAGCAGATGGCCGCTTGTCCTGAGCCTGGTTCTGCTGGAGGTTTCTTCCTTTCAAAAGGGAGTTTTTCTTTCCACTGTTGCCACTGTGCTTGCTCAGGATGGGAGACTGCAACGAAGCCAAGATTCAACTTGTCTGCTGGATTCCTTAGATAGAGAACTTTACTAATTGGCTTTTATGTGAATGCTTCTGTAAAGTGCCCTGAGACAACTTTGTTGTGGTTTGGCGCTATATAAATAAACTGAATTGAATTGAATAGACATTTTTACTTGTGTTCAACACTACTCATCTAAATGATGTTTCTCATGAAGCTTGAGGACAATGAGGTGTGGGGTTTTAAAGACATTTCAACTTTAATGCACCTTCACAAACAGCGTCTCTTACACCTGCAGCATCTCACAGCGTCACAGTTACTGCTAAGCTAAGATGCTACAGATGTAGCGCTCCTCTCAAGCATCCTCCTAACATGAATATATGTTGATGATCAACCCCCCGGTCAACAACTGCCCGCACTAAGCTCGCTAAACTGGCGAGTGAGCAACACAGCGGTGTCTCCATCTCCTCCACCTGTGCGTGTTTTCTGCCGAGGCAGGAGGAGACGTAGAGGAGAAACACTGAGGCAGCAATGCTGCTGCTGTGTGTGGAGTTGGAGGTAACCAGGAAAACTTAGAGTGGAGTTTTAGTGGTTTGAGTATTCTCCTATTAATCAAGTGGAATGGATTTGTTCACGAAGAAAGAGAAACTGCACTGACTGAACTAATGTTAATGCTTAGTAACCCCAGCGCTGAGTCCAAATGAACATTTTTTTAATGTGTGTGTGTGGGGGTGGGGGTGGGGGGCATGTCCCCTTCACATATAATGGTTGTGACGCCTATGACTAAGTGCTTATTCTTGTCATGATTGGAGGAAATATTCCCAAACTGCTTCAATCCAGGTTGTATAGTTCATAAAGAGAAAAGCAGGGCCACTATCCGGTGTGCAGGGGCCTTATTTTAGTTGATATTAAAAAGTTTATGTCCCCCCAAAAGTATGCAACAAATAAGGTTCGTAATAAGTATATTTATAAAATAATGTCAGTGATTGAAGCGGCGGCGAACTAAAACACCAGCAATGCTTTCTAACCAAAATGCTTAGTAACCCCAGCGCTGACTGGCTCAGTAACCGTCAGCTCTGTTTAATCCGGACGCTTATTGGCTGTTACAACAGCAGATGGTCGCTAACACACGTAGCACGGGTTTGTTTACCTCTGCTTTTTTTCAACTGGACTTCTTATTCCTAAACATTCTGTGTGTTCAAAAGGTTCTGGCAGCAAACCGAAAGGTCAGTGGAAGTTGTTGACGATTAAAGAGAAAGTGGGACTTCTGGACAAACTCTGAGATGGCCGTACCTACACAGACGTTGCCGGCTGCCTACAGCACAGTTGTTAAGATGGAAGCTGCATTGCTCATGTGGATTAGTGACAGCAGAACAAAAACATCACTTTGGATACCAACACCAAAGGTGAAACAACTTTACTGTATGATCATCTTGCAGCAAGCAGCACGGAGGAAGAGACATGGTGATGTAATGAGGAGCGGGGAATGGGGGGTATAAACCCAGTCACAATGCCCAGTCATAACATATATTTGTTCAATTTTCTCCAGGTTTTAAAAATTGTTTTAAAAGTATTAAACTTCTAAAATATATTCGGGTACTCTGGAGTTCTACTGTTAGCACAGAAATTCAAGAAAAACAGAAGCAGCTGCTAGAAATATATCACAGGGAATAATTAATAGGAAGCTTTATCATGTTCCTTTCAACACTTTAGCTGTTGCTGACTTCACCGTGTCCTCTGTTCATTCATGCATGGATTTCTAATTACCAAGGAAAGGATGCGCTCATCACTGCACTGAAGCTACTTTGGATGTGAGGGGTTATTATGGATTATTAAAAGCAAGAATAGCAGCACTCTTTCAGTCTTTACGGTTCACTAATACTCCTATAGTTAAAAAGAGAGTCTCCACTGATCAGCCTAGGCATCAGTCAGATTCTGGAAGGGACAAATAAAATTACCAGTGATTAGAAAAAAAAACATTAAAAATGAAAAGCAGGCCACAGTTTTGCACAAAAATGTTTTGACATGACATAATATTAGATTGTGCTAACTGGGAGTTTGGATAATGTACCAAATAAATTAGTCTCTGTAGTTTGTATAAAGTAAGGTTCATCCTACTGTACTGGTGTAGTCTTAATTACAACTCATTGTTTTCAGTGACTGCTAGACAGACATCATACTGAGCACTGCTGTGACTGCAAAATACGGTGAAAATATCCTTTGATGCTGCGTTTGACATATTTTTCATCCATGTCAGATTCAGCTCAGTTCATCCATCTCTCGAGTCTTGTGAATTGTTTTCTCCTTTCCTCTCAGAACTTACCAGTCATAGCGCAGATGTTGGTGCAGACATTCCTCAGGCTGTAACAACAAATAATCTCCTTGAAAGTCTTTCTCATCTCCTGACTCCTGAAGGCATAGATGAGGGGATCGATCACTGAGTTGCACATGATGAGGATCAGGTACATGTTGAAGTGCGACATGAAGCACACGCAGTAGAGGTTACGCGGGCAGGAGATCATGAGGATCAGGTGAAGGAAGAAAGGAGCCCAGCAGACAATGAAGATTCCCAAGAGGATGGTGAGGGTGATGGCACCCTTCATGCTGGTGCGCTGGTGGATGGAGTTGTATCCAGGCAGGGCGGCGATGCGCTTCACGTGAGAGCGGGCCAGCATGAACATGTGGCTGTAGAGAGAAGCCATGATGAGCAGCATGGCAAAGAACATGGACACCAGACATATAATGACAGGCGTGGTCTCAGAGTAGATGATGAAGACAATGCCGCAGCCTGTGCAAAAGGTCCAGATTCCTCCGATGATGCAGCCGGCTCTTCTCACTGTCATGATGTTGTGGTACCTCAGTGCGTAGAAGATGGTGACGTACCTGCAGAAGATGACAAGCTGTTTATTGACTACGTAAACTCACCTCAACAAACTTTAATTTTCAGGCAGCATTTTTCACAGAATCCATGAACTTTATAATGTCAGAAGAATGTTGAACATAAAACAACTCTTTCATTTAACAAGTGAACCGAGCTGCAGAAAAATAGAACAGCACACTTAAAGTGCTAGGCTGGTCTATTTTGAAGTGATGCTCTGATAAATCTCTGTCTACTTATACAAACAATAATTACAAATCCACAAACACAAAAGCCTGACAACAATCGAAAACATTACATACAATACGTGAGTGAAGACGGAGCAGGAAGAATGGTAAATGGTAAATGGACTGTACTTATATAGCGCCTTTCTATCTTATTTCAAGATACTCAAAGCTCTTTACACAACAATCTGTGCCTCATTTACCCATTCATACAGCTCTATACTAGATCTCTACAAAGATAATTGAACAAATCATTCTAAAGAGACTAATCAGAGCTTTATCACATTCATACACTGATGGGACACACATCAGAGGCTATGAGGGGTTCAGTGTCTTGCCCAGGGACACTTCAGCATGTGACTGCTGGTGGATTCGAACCCCCAACTCTCGCACTGGAGGACGACTGCTCTAACCACTCAGCCACAGCCGCCCCTAGAAGAAAAAAAGTCTTATAATTCCCGTCCCTTTCTAAAACAAATAAGACAAAAAAAATGACACAGGGCCATTTGTAATTAAACATTCATCTGGAAACAAAACCCACAAAGAAACTGCAAACAGTTTCAGTCTTAAATAATATTCTATTAGTACATAAATTTCATAATTATCCCATTGTAAATTATTTTTCAATTGATTAAAAGTTTAATATTTTTCATGTCAAAACCCAGATTTATTCACATTTTCACTCCAAATCTGAGATACATATCTGCTTTATACACACAGTGTAAATTGATTTAGTGTTTTTTTGTTCTGTGATCCTGTGTTTTAAATGCTTTTTATTAATTCTTCAGTATTATTATTAGTGTATTGTATTTTTTTTCTCTTTAATTTTACTCCCATTAATTGTTGTTGTTAAGCACTTGGATAACAGGTTCTGTTTTAAATGTGCTCTATAAATAAAGTTGACTTGACTTGACTTTAATTTTTAGAAAATTCAAAATGAATTTTCCTCTTAGGGTCGCCATCGTTTGAGTTCAACAAACACAATATGTAAATTATTTGGCAACTAATTCTTTTTAGTTTTGAAATAAATCAATAAATATATAAGGTTAGTAAAACTTTAAAATGAAATATTTTTGACTTTATAAATAGTTATTAAACGCTTGAAACTTTTTTAATAACACAAACTAAAGTTTAGTATAAGCCACATATACAGTATGTTGCCTCAAATCTCTGATCATTAAAGACTTAGATGATCTTGTTGATAATTTTACAACTTCAATGCAAACTTTGCTGGACAAAGTTGCTCCGCTGAAGAAGAAAGTAATCAATCAGAGGAAACTGGCTCCTTGGTTCACTTCATAGTTATGTACTTAGCAGGTATCTAGAAAGCTGAAAAGAAAACGATGCGCCACTAACATGGAAGAACTTTTTTTAACTTGGAAAGATAGTCTACTAATATATAAGAAAGCTCTCCGTAAAGCTAGAACTTTATATTATTCATTGTTAATAGATGAGAATAAAAATAACACTAGGTTTCTGTTTAGCAAGCTGTAGCTTGACTAATTAAAAGTCTCATTTCTGTTGAACCATGTATCCCTATACGAAGTGATGACTTCATGAATTTTTTTATAAATAAAATATTTCAATTAGAGAGACAATTCAAACCATCCTTCCTTCTACTATCCCTGGTCCCCTGTCAGATGATGCAGCTTTAGAGATAATAATAGAACCTGATTTATGTTTGGACTGTTTTTGTCCTGTTGAGCTCTGCATGATCAAAAATAATAGCTTCATCCAAACCATCCACATGTCTTCTAGATCCCATCCCAACCAGACTGTTTAAAGAGGTGTTCCCCCTAACTGATGTTCACATTTTGGATCTTCTTAATTTGTCTTTAATTGATGGTTATGTACCACAGAGCTTTAAGGTTGCTTTAATTAAACCTTTACTTAAGAAGTCTGACCTTGATTCAGAAATTCTGACAAATTATAGACCTATATCTAATCTAACTTTCATCTCAAAAATTCTAGAAAAAATAGTTGCAGGTCAGTTGCGTGAACACCTAAAAACAAATAATCTGTTTGAAGAGTTTCAGTCTGAGTTTAGAGCTCATCATAGCACAGAAACAGCACTAATAAAAGTTACTAATTATAGAGTTACACATATTGTAACTTAAACCCTGCATACACAATTTCATTCCATCACATACACCACATGCGATGAGAATGACAATAAAGAACCTCAACTTGATATTCTCATGGCCTCTGATAATGGACTTGTGTCTATACTGGTCCTGTTAGACCTCAGTGCTGCATTTGATACAGTTGATCACAATATTTTACTACAGAGGCTTGAATATGGTATTGGGATTACAGGAACAGGTTTCAATCATATTCAGCTGATAGATTTTAGTTTGTATATGTAAATAATAAATCTTCTTCATACACCAAAGTTAGTCATGTAGTTCCTCAGGGTTCAGTGCTTGGACCAATACTCTATATATATGCTTCCATTAGGTAAAGTTATTAAACAGCATGGGATACATTTTCATTGTTATGCTGATGATACACAGTTATTATATATTTAACCATGAAACCTGATTAATCCAATCAGCTACTTAGACTACAAACATGTCTTAAAGACAAAAATTTGGAAGACCCTAAATTTTCTGCTTTTAAATTCAGACAAGACAGAGGTTGTGATTTATGGACCTGAGCATCTTAGGAATAAATTTTGCAGTCTTTCACTTGATGGCATTAACTTGGTCTCTAGTTCTAAAGTTAAAAACCTTGGTGTTATTTTTGATCAGGATATATCTTTTATCCCCTATATTAAAAACATTACCAGAACCGTTTTCCTCCACTTGCATAATATCACTAAGATTAGAAACATGTCCAAAAATGATGCAGAAAAACTGAGTCATGCATTTATCACGTCTAGACTGGGCTATTACAATTGTTTACTATCTGGGTGTCCAAAAAGTTCTTTAGAAAGTCTTCAGCTGTTTCAAAATGCTGGTGCCAGATTTTTTATGAGAGTTTATAGGAGAGATCATATTTCTCCAGTTTTAGCTTCTCTCCATTGGCTCCCTGTCAAATTCAGAAAATAATTCAAAATCTTACTTCTAACCTACAAAGCTCTCAACAACCTGGCTCCGTCTTATATTACATATCTTATTGATCCATATTTTCCCAAACACTTCGCTCTCAGACTACAGATTTACTTGTGGTTCCTAGAGTTTCCAAAAGCAGAATGGGAGGCAGATCTTTCAGTTATCAGGCTCCTCTCTTGTGGAAACAACTTCCAATCTATGTCCATGAGGCTGACACATTATTCGGGGGGGGGGGGGGGGGGGGTCTACCTTTCCCCACTTTCTCGTAATAGCTTTCTTGATAGATATTAACATTATCCTGATCAGATACCTATCCCTTACTCTTACTTTTTCTGTGATATTGTTACAAATGTAAAGGTATAGTACGGTGCCGCTCATATAGGAATATCATATCCCAGTATCTTGGTTTTGGTTTCATGCACAGTTTTCCAAAACTGAAGTATTTTAAGGCAGTTCCAAAATATGTGAGAGTGGTCTGCGTCAACTGCTTTCTAAAAAAAAAATAATGCATTCTTAACCCTATTTAACCTCCTAAGACCAGAACTCTTGCATATGTGAATGCCAGGTTTGTCCACATATGTGGATACCAGGTCCTAGGAGGTTAAATTTGCAGTACAGTATATTAAAAACTTTTCTCTATATACAATTTATGCAAAGGTTCTAATTCTTTTTTTTCATTCAACCTTTATTTAGACAGGTTAATCCAGGCATGGGCAAACCTCGGCTTGTTGAGCTTTTTAATTGGCCCGCCAAAATTGCCTAAAATTTGGACAATTAAAAAGAAATTTTTTTTTTAATACTTTATTTTTCAGGGGTGCTGAAGTAAAATTTAGGGGTGCTTAAGCACCCCCAAAAAGAGCTTAAAATTGCCACTGGTTCAAATTATATTTAAAAAACTAAATTTAATAGGAAAAAAAACTGGTGTCATTTTACCTGTAGCTCCAGTATTTCCCCAGTAGAGGCGCACCACAAACACTGGTGTGTATTAGAGGCAAAGTAACAGTTGAGAAGAAGAAATTTCTTCTTCTACGCTTTTATTTTTACTTTGCCCTATGAACTCGTCTGTAAAAACGTGTTTATCAAAGAAAAAGAAAAGTGTACAGTGAGTGCCGAGTGTTTATAATGGGGTGGACAACAACATATTGTTTCACTGAGGTCCAATCAAAGACAGTTTTTATGCCAAGAAACTGTCACGGTTTTCAAAGAGTACATTTTGCTAACTGCTAACTATGCTAGCAAGCCTTTCTCCGATGGCGATTTTTAAAAAGAAACATGGTAAAAACAGAGCAGGTCTATTGTGTCTGGAGGTCCAAGACAAGTTAGAAAAAATCAGTTTATCACGGAGGACTGTGACTCGCCTTGTTGAACTAACTGATGAAGATTTAGCAAAATAAGCTAAAAGAGTCTTTTAAGTTATGGTTTGTTAGCACTGGATGAACGTAATAAAGAACACTGCTCCTCTCCTATTTTTTATCTGCGGGATTAACAACAGTTTTGAGATAATAGAGGTGTTTTTGATCCTGGAGTCTCTGAAAGGAAAAAAAAAAACGGAGAGAGGATTTTTATAACCGTCTGCTGTCATGAGAGAATGAAGCTTCTGTGGAGTAAAGTTGACAATGTCACAACGGAAGCATCACCAAATTTAAGTGGAAAACATGTTGGGCTGCTGACAAGAATCCAGGATAAAGTGAAAGAGGAAAACCCTGACCAGGATGTTATTTTTCATCC